TGATTGCGAGTTTATCAATGAATACCACAAATATTCACTTTTCCCCAAAAATACCGTATTTGCCGGCGTATAAGACGACTGGGCGTATAAGACGACCCCCCAACATTTCCACTCAAAATATAGAGTTTGTTATATACTCGCCGTATAAGACGACCCCCCCACTTGGAGGCATGTTTTTCAGGGCAAAAAAGTCATCTCATACGCCGGCAAATACGGTAAGTTGTAACACTTGGGGTATTCTGGATATAATTCTTGATTGACACCCCCACCCCTTTCCCCCAAACTTACAAAGCCACCAAAATGCTTTAGAGAGGCAGCTTCGCCTTTCTCAGGCTGGCACTCAATTCCTCTCCCTTTCTTTGTGACAGCCCCCGCGTGCGTGCATCGGGACTCCAAGGGTGGGGGATAGACAGCTGCCAACTCTCTCTCTCTCTCTCTCTCTCTGTGTGTGTGTGTGTGTGTGTGTGTGTGTGTGGTGTGGAGGGTAATTCCGGCTATCTCTGGCCTCCGCTCGGTTTTAAAGTCACTTGGCCGGTTCCCAAGTCGCAAGCGCGCGCTGGCCGGGAGACGCGGCGCCGGGTGGCAGCTCGGTGCAGGGGAGGCGGATCTTTATCTCTTAAGTGAGGAGGGGACAAGAGGAGGGGTGGGACGGGACGGGGTGGGAGGAGGTCCCTCGCCTTCTTCCACCGCTCACCGGACCCTTTTCTTCCCAAGGGGACCCTGGAAAGCAGCTCGGGAGCCGGGTGGCCCTGCCCAGCAGGGTCCCATCAGGAACTTCCCGAGGAAACCCCCCCCCCGCCCCAAGCACAGCCCTCCCGGTCTTTCAAAGAGGGAGGGAGAAGCGGGAGGAGCAAATTGCCGCCCCCCGCCCCGCTGCCCAGAAGGAGGGGCGCCACAGTCCACCCCCACCACCTTCTCCCTCCCACTCCCCGGGCCATTACGCGGCTCGGGGCTGGCTGGGCGAAGCGGCCCCGCCAGAGACCCTCCCGCTCCACCCCCACCCCACTTCCAGATTGGCCTCCGCAAGCGCCCCGAGCCGGGCGGAGGGTGGGGGGGTGGGTGGGGGGGAGGAGGAGGAAGAGAGACTCCGGCTGGGCTTGAAGGGGCTTCGCAAGTTGCGGAGCCCCGCCCCCATCGCTCTTGCACCGAGTGACAACGTATTTACCGGCGTATAAGACGACCCCCCCACTTGGAGGCATGTTTTTCAGGGCAAAAAAGTCGTCTTATACGCCGGCAAATACGGTAAGTGCATTTCCTGCTACAAACATTTTGCTCATCCCAGCTATATAACAGGGTTTTTAGGTTTTGTTTCTATGACAGGGTACATACCATATTCTAAGCTAAAATTAAGCAAGTAACATTCTGCCTTAACATGATAAGTGAACCAAGTTACTGTATGTGTCTAGTATTGTTTGAATTTGTGCATATTCTAGAAATCTGAAAGTATTTAATATTTAAAATACTAAATATTAGTAAAATATTTATCAAGATTAAAGCAAACCAAATCTTGAAATGATGTATGATCCAGACAGGCTAATTTTAGCTACATCTTGTTTAGTCATAGGCATTTATTCACTAGTGGTTTGTTCTACTTTGTGAGATCAACCCAAACTAGACCAATCCCAACGTCTGTTTGAGAAGCTGGATCAGTTTATTTCTGACTTTGCTCTACTTTCCTAGGAAATGCTGCAGACAGTTAATTTCTCTCTTGGTGGACATCCTTGCCTTGTGTCACCTTCTGGAGCTTAAGATATTCATTAGTGCCTCTTTCTCCTCCACCCCGCCCCAGGATTTCAGCATTATATTCCTATCTTAATACTAGTTAGAACTGATAATTTGTTGATTCACCCAACACACATCCCACAGCCATTACAGCAACAGTATTGGATACAGGTATTCAGGAAACTAGCTGATGACAGAAATGCTGATATATTAATTTTTTAAACCTTTTTTACCTTCACAATTTACCTGGGCTCTTAAACATAGAGAAACATTGAAAGCAAAGCAGCTTGGAAGCCTTTGGAAAAGATAAACTTTTACTGGTATTTGTTATAAATAAAAACTTTCCTTGCATAACTTCTCATTGTAGCCCTTCTCATCCACCAAATTCATGCATATACTGGAAAGCGTGAAAGGAGAGTGTCCCAGTCCTGATTTGTTTTGTTTTCCCTTTTTCTATGGCATAAAAGTGACACTGGAGCAGGAGACTGATTGGATTAATTTCCTTTCATATAGTTTCAAATTGCTTTGTAGGGAATTAAAGTGTGGAAATGCTGGTGATGTGGCAGTGCTTGCAGCATTTTGGCAATTAGAACAACTAGTATTACACAAGAATTTAAAGGCATTTTGTCAGTGTTCCTTTTTTATTCTTTTTTAATAGATCATTTCTGGAATGGAGAAAGAATGGGAATGTGGTAGGAAAATACAAAAGAGTTACAAATAGGAGGCATTCTTGTCTACACATTCTGTACAATTTTGAATTTTTGGCCAGGCACGGTAGTTCAAGCATCATTTAGCAGCTCATATAGCACAACACATTTACTATATATTCTGTGGAATTTACATATTGACATCTTTTATATTCTTATTTTTCACTCAATATAACGGTCAGCAAATCATTAATTCTTTGTCAGATATGACATGTTTTGTGTGGAGAATGACCATGAATGGAATAATGCCTGGAATGTTATAATCATGTCTAATTATTCTTGTGTACACTATTGTATCACATATGAAATTGTTTAATATTTTACTGCATTTTTCAGGCATAGTGGTTCTTTTAAAAATATAAATTAATAAAGAAGCTATCAATGGCAACATCATAAGGATCATTCATTAACTCAGTTTTTATATGTCCAGTATTGGAAAATGTATGCCTCTCAATACCAGTTGTAAGGAAATACGTAAGAGGCTGTGTATATATTCATGATCTACTGTAAACTTCCAAAGGCATTCAGTCAATCTCAGCAAGGAAAGAATGCTAGATTGACTACAGATTCTTCCAGACAGGGGTACAAATCTAATAATGGGTGCCCACAATAAGTCATATATGATTGTGATGATTAATGAATTATTCCTGTATCCATGGTGTTCTATTCACTGATGAGGAAGTAACATTTTAAGCAGAAATTGCCTCTACAAAAGCTATAGCATAGGGCTATACTGATTTTAAGGAGTGGTTTGTATTCTCACTGGAGGTTGGTTACCAGAATGATCCTAATTTTTATAACTGTATAATAAGGGACACTTAATTTTATATTTTTCCCCCAGGGCCTCCTGTAATTTTACTGTGGTGGGATGGCATGGGGTGAACATAAAGAGTAGTATTTAAATCAGCCTAAGGAGCTTGAAAGGAAAATGACGTTTTGTCACATAAATGCTAGCAATTTTCTCTCTGTGTGTATGTTTGTGTTTAAGAAGGGATGTATTTTTTAGGTGCAATACTCAAGAACAGGTTGATATTCTGAGTAATTGGCAGTTAAGTGAGTACCGATTGGCTCACAGTTCTCGGTGCTGAGTTACAGACCTGAAAAGGGAAGTGCTAACTAGCTTTAATTTTTAGTGTGGCCTGTATACTTAAAAAGAGTAAACATTCCCATGCACTAAGCCTCTCAGTGTTTACAATCAAACCAACCTGGATCAGCCTGGCTTGAAATGGAATCCCAGAACATGGAAGACAGAAAGGCTGGTTCCTGAATATCATAATATGATCTAGCACTGCTTGTCCTACTATGGCTGACAGGACAAACTGAGCAAGTCAGCCTGATGAATAAAAACATACATGCAGTTTCTTATTCCCCACTGTGGTTAAAAAGCATACCTTAGGTTGATTGTATGAAGGAAATGTAGAGTGGGTTTCATTTATATTTATTGAATTTACATCCTGTCTTTCCCCTAGGAACTCAAGGCCAAATGTTCCACAACTGGCAACTTTTGAATTTACACAACACAGTGTTAGGAAGCTTTCTACCCTCTTTAATGAACAGAGTGAGGTAGTAGGGGGTGACAGTAGCACAAATACGGTAGTTTTTGGGGATGGAATATGGTACTATATTATGCTTTAGTATGTCATGTAAACTGTCCTATTATAGAACTATGTAATTTTTAAAGATAAAGTAAACATAGCTGAGGCTACCTATCTGCCCTACAGAAAAGTCCATATGAAGCTTTTACCAATGTGTTTTAAATACTGTATTTTCTTCTTTCAATGTTATAATTTTCCTCCAATACCACACCCTGATTTTTTTTACTTTTGAAAATAAATGGAAAAAGTTTTCTACAGCTATGCCAGGCGAGCTTGCCACATCTAACCTACCAAATGAATAGCTGTTTTGAACTGCGGATGGTAATAAAGGAGAGAAGTTTTTCTTCGGCTACTTCGGGAAAACTATATAACTCACATTCTTTTACAAATATCACCGCACAACATCTTGATATTTATTTACAAAGTACAAAAAGAAGGCACTGAGGTCATTTTTAAAAGAGGTGCCTTGTCAGTCTGGGATAGTTAAAAACAAAGGAGTTGGTATCTTAAAAGGAAATATACTTAAGGCTACGAAGCCACAAGACTTTTTTCTTATTTAGGAAAGAGATCTTAAATCGGACCTGGATAATACAGAAGGACGTACAAAAGTTGAAACCGCAGAGCCACAGAAAAAGAATATTTTTTGTTTTTGTTTTAGAAAGAGGTCCAAGTGAACGCACCGTTTATTGGTATTTCTACCTGCAGCCTTTCCCTACTCCCTATATGGACATCTGAAGCGACTCATCACCAGAAGTCCCCCCCCCCCCCGGGCAGGTGTTATGACAAAAGCCCCCTGAGTCGAGGGGGGGTCTGCGCCCGCCCAGGGGGTGGTGCTGTCGAGACCGTCCCGAGCTCCTCCGCAGCCATAACCCGAAGTCTACCCCAGGCGGCGGCGGCGGAAGTGAGTGAAGGGGCAGTATAGGAATTTCCTGTGACGTCCCGGCCCAGACTCCATTAGGCTGCAGCTAGGCAGAAGAGCCTCAAACCGACCAGCTAGTAGAGAGGAGCGGGCTGTCTGCCTGGGGCTGCCAGGCGGGGGTTGTTTCGGGCCGCGTTCTCTGGCGGGACCGTAGAAAGGGTAGCAGCAGCTGCTGCTGTCAAAGAGCCGCGGGGAGAGGAACAGCTCCCCGTTCCTTACCCCGCCACCTCCCCCCCATCCCACCCTACCCCTCCTCCCCTTCCCCCCTCCCCCCCCCCCCCCGGCTTCCCACCACGGCCGCTCTCGGCGAGGAAACTCTGGCCTCCGCTTCCTCCTCCTCCGACTCGGACACCGGCGGAGCCTCCCCGCCACCGCGGAAGAAAGCGCGGGCTTCCCCGGCGGCGGCGGCGGAGGGAGCAGGAGAGCCCGGGGCTTCCGCGGGCAGAGCAGGCCTCACCTCGTCTTCATCCCCCTCGCTCTCCTGCGGGCTTGCCCCCCCGGCTGCCACCCCCCTCAGAGCCAGCGGCAGCACCATGCAGGCCAACGGAGCAGGAGGGGGTCAGCAGCAACAGCCGCCGCCGCCGTCATCGTCGTCACAGGGTCCGGATATGGGCTGCCTCAACGCCCAAAACGGCGAGGCCTCGTCGGGATTGACCACTGGAGAGCAGTTAGCTCACGCCAATGGGTTGCTGCCGTCGGCCAACAACGGCGACGGCGGTGGCGGCCCGAGTGTCAATAATGGGGTCTCGGCCCCCGCCGGCTCCGCGCTTGAGATGGGGGGAGGCAGTGGTGTCGGCGTCGGCAGCAGTGCCCTGAAAAAGAAGAAGCGGCTTTCGCAATCTGATGAGGACGTGATCCGGCTCATCGGGCAGCACCTCCACGGTTTGGGCCTCAAGTAAGTGGGGCGAATAGGTGTTGCGATCCACCCCACTTCCCAAATAATGCGTAGGCTTTAAACCTGAGGAATGTGGGGCTGGGGGGCGAGATCGTCCGGAGGATGACTGCCCACCATGTTGTACTTCCAGCCCCCTTCCTCGGCTGGCCTTTTTGGGGAGGGGGAGGGAGATTTTGAGAGTAGATGGGTGATATTCCTCTTGCTAATATCTCTTTTTGTAGGAAGCAACATCGGATGATTGTTTGGCGAGAATATGGATCTAGGTTTGTGTTGATGAGAACAATAACTCTGACAGACTTGTTTATTTTAAAGATCAATTATATACCTAAGGGGAAAAAGGCCAACATTTTGAATGTTGATCTGTAGTACAATCGGGAGATATTTTTTTTTGTTCAACATTAGTAAGTTACGGTTTAATACCAAAGACAAAAATGTGAGGGATAAATAAAAACAGTGTATGAGTTGAAGGCAGTGAGACGATAGGGCCTATTTTTCAGGCCTAGTCCAATGGGAACTTCGTTTTAAGAAAACATTTAGAATTTTTGTGAGGCCCAACAGCACATTATTTAAAGACAAATACATTATAGAGATTATATTGGGAGACCAGCATTTTGAATACAACAGTGTATGAACAAAAATTCAGATGGATCTAATACAGAAGTATTACAGCAAAACAGCCTACCCATATAAATAGATATTCTATAAGTTTAAACTAATATTTTAAACTGTAGATTGATAGTATTAAAATTGAACGTGAACATACCTGTGTCTAACCCACTTGGAATGTACTTAAAATTAATGTCAGATATGTTGACTCTTATGTAGCTTGCAGCACTGCAGTACTTTGAGCTGAGTAATAGGCATGCACTGGAATGGGGGAGGGTGAAAAGCAAATAAACATGGCACATCAGTAATTTAGATTAGTAAAACAAACTTGAGAGGAATGTATTATAATAGTAGCTAGTTTAATTTTGAGAATTTATGCATAAGTATATCCTTGGAAAACGAGGGTCTTTATAAGGTGAGAACTTGAACCACTGCAGGAATAGGTTGATATTTAACTTAGAACACAGTAAACATATGATTGACAAAAGTCAAGTTTATAGCAAGAGGCAAACCTTTTGACTGTTAGAGTTTTAACACAAGGAAAACAGTATTTTTCATTTTAAATAATTGGGAAAGTAAGAATATAGGTTTATGGATTATTAAGTAAGGTATTTCCTGACAGAAAATATTTATCATGAAAATAGTAGAAATATATGTCATATTTGCTAGAATTTATAAAAATTATGGGTAGTTTTTGTTATATTTTTAAAAAACATGTTGTACTAAGGCTACACTGGATGTCTTATCTATATGGATAAGAATAAAGACTGGTCAACTTTTTAAAAACACTATGCCTCTCTCTCACAGTCAGACTGTTGATCTTCTCATGCAAGAGTCAGGATGTCGTTTAGAACACCCTTCTGCCACCAAATTCCGCAATCATGTCATGGAAGGAGAATGGGATAAGGTAATAAAAGAGGCATAAGGTTGCCTAATTGTAACAATAATTGCAACCTTATGCATAGTATCTTAAAAGTAAATCCAATCTGTTCATTACAATGAGGCTTAATTCTGAGTAAACAAAAATAAATCTAAGTTATTAATTTATAGATATTACAGTATATTTCACCAACTTTGGTTTACCTTTTTTATTTCTCTTAATTGTTTTTAACATTGCATTTTGTAGGCTGAGAACGACTTGAATGAACTGAAGCCATTGGTGCACTCTTCCAATGCAATTGTGGTAAGAGAGGCTCTTCAATAAACTCTAGATATAAATAATATATTTTAATAGTTTAAGTTGAGATTTGCATGCTTAGTTATATATGTATGTAAAGAGAAATAATATTTTCAATTTTCAATTAAAAATGAAAAAGCTTATGCTTAGTATGTAAACTTTGAACATTGTGATGTAATAATGTAGCTAAAATACATATATCTTTGGGATATTGCTTAACTTGCAGCTAAGTAATAAATACAGTTTTTACTTTTTATTTTCTAGTGAAATCATTGGTTTGTGAAGTTTAGAGGGATGGTTATTGTATGGGGTTAGCATATTTGCAGTTACTTAGAATGTCATTTTGCTTTTCACTTACAACAAAGTGATAATTTTAGTGATAACTGAGGTCTGTAATATGGAATTATGTCTCAATTATAAAATTAACATATTAAAGAGAGACTAAAAATATTTCTACCACTCCTAATTTCTTGGTATGTTTTTTGTTTTTGGCTTACATTTGATAAAAGTGTAGCAAATTTTCATCTGATTCAGTTTACTGATGTCTGCTTAGCTTTCTTGAGGTTTCTCTGTTATCAAAAGGATACTTTTCTGTTCTTTGCACCCTCCCCTTTCACGAAGGAAGTGGTGTGCAAAACAGATGTTTTGCTACATTTATTCACTGAAAGTATATATTACTCTGAAGGCTAATCGTTAAATCTTTCCTTGCAAGCAAGTACTTTTGTATATGTTTTCCTATGAATAGATAGATGATAATGTAAATGTATTATACAAAAAAGCATAAGTACTGTACTAAAAAATAAAGAGGTCATTTAAGGCCTAATAAGAAAAAATTGCAAGATATACCTTTTGTAGAACACTGTTCACAATGATTTAAGAACAATGATTTAAGAAAAAATCATTCTATATGATATTGGTGTGTAAAATCTGTTCAATTCATAAGTTATTAAAATTGAAATCTGGAGGTACCTTTAGAATCTTTCTTCAGTGCTCTTCAGTTGATTTATAATAATGGAAACAGCAATATTACTTGGAACAGTTATATTCATCTTCATACCCGTATTATGTGAGATGGAAAGACTCAAAACATGTCCCTTTAATTATTTTCCTGAATTTATTAATTTGATCTGAAACATGTTGCAGCTCGGTGAATTACTGCTTAATGGGAAGTGATAACCTGTTTTGTTAAAGGAATTCAATGAACTGATTTTAAAAATAAATAAATTATGAGAATCCTTAATTGGGCAATTCTAAATGTTGGTTTAGGCAAGTATTTATTAGGAAAACAGTTGATTCTTTAAGTTAACCTTGGAACTAATTTCTGGAGACCCTGTATAACTTAAAATAAAGGTCTTCAAACTTAGCAAGTTTAAGACTTGTAGACTTCAACTCCCAGAATTTCTGAACTAACATGACTGGAGGAGGAATTCTGGGATTTGAAGTCCACAAGTCTTAAAAGCTGCCAAGTTTGAAGACCATTGATTTAAGAGATGGAAATAAAGTGATGGAAGATTTTCTTGATGTGTGGTGGCTGAGTAAAATTGAAATTTTGGATATTATTTATATTGGATTACATTATGGCCAGTCTAAAAAAACTTTTGTATCTGCTAATTGTAAGATAATATTCTCTTGTATTTAGAAGTTTAATCTTCCTTTCATCTACCCTGTTTCTCCAACAATACGGCCTCCCCCAATAGGAAGTCCCAGCATGTTTTATAGGCATGAAATGAAATTAAGCCCCTCCCCCCAAATTAAGGCCTATATTAAAACATGCGAAATGGGGGGAATGGTGGGGGGGCTTGCTGTTAGGAAGTACTTTTGTTGCACACCTGGATATGGTGCTACCTGCGTTGACCCCGATACGAAGTGCCCCACCAACGCCGAGGTCAACATCCAAGCCGTCACTGCCCACCCGAAGATGCAAGGGGGGGGGGAATTAAGTCACCCCCGAAAAGACGGCCTAGCCATTTTTTCGGGGCTCAAAAAAAAATAAGACCCGGTCTTATTATATGAGAAACACGGTAATCCTTAAGACAAACATGCTGTACCTGCTTCCCATTCATGAAAAATCAAACATATCTCCTCCTATTTGCCCTTTTATTGACATATCAAAAACTAACAGAAAAAAAATTCATAATAATTTTGAAAGATGTTTACATCTGAATTTTGATGGATTGTCAGGAAAAAATTCTGCACATTGGCCAGTTATTTCCAAAATCTCTTACATATGCATCCATATTCCCAAAATTTGTGTTGCTCAGCAAGAAGTGGTTTAATGAGTTTTGCCCCATTTTATCACCTTTCTATCATAGTTGTTAAGTGAATCACTGCAGTTATTAAGTTAGCAACAGAGTCATTAGGTAAATCTGGCTTCCTCATTGACTTAGTTTATCAGAAGATTGCCAAAAGGTAATCATACTGCAGCCATTATAAATACATGCCAGTTTCCAAGCATCTGAATTCTGATCACATACCAAAGGAATGCTGCGCTGGTCATAAGTGTGAAAACTGGTCATAAGTCACTTTTTTCAGTGCTGTTGTAATTTTAAATGGTCACTAAATAAATGGTTCTAAGTTGTGGACTATATAAAGCTGCAATAGCTGTAATCTGTTGATATTTTGGATCGTTATAAGAATTTCCAGATAAGCTTTGCTGAACTCAGATTATTTGATGTTGCATATCCTAATCTTCTAAGTATTTAGAAGCAAGACTTGCTGTCCCTAGGAGGCTTATTACTAAACGAAATTAAAGGTTTATAATTAATTCTGAATTTTATCAATTTTACTAGGATCGTCACTCTTTTTTCTTCTCATTTCATTTCAAACAATGGTATAGAATTGAAGGTGGACGTTTAATTGTCAAGACAACCAATACTCGTAGAAAATTGAGTTAAGGTATCCCATGCAGTTACTTGAGACGTGCAAAATGCTTCAAAGTTGAACCGTTTTGAATTTACAAAGTCACATTTCAAGTGTGAAACGGCTATTGTGAATATAGAACAAGCTGTAATAGAAATGTTCTGAGTTTAAACCCCTGTTATGGACATAGGATATTTCTTAAGCAGTTAAACAACCCAATTTTCCATCCAAAATGGTATTTTGAATTTGAAATAATTCAAATTGAAATCTTTTACATATTTTTAAGAAACGGCCAGATAAAACCACAAGTCATCATGCTAATAACATTGACAACCTGGGTTCCTCAAGGCAATTCACAAGTAAAGTATGTAATCATCATTATTACTCTGACATTGCTTGGTATCTATTATTTATATCTAATATTTAGTTTATTGCTATGTCAGTATTTTTAATCGTGATCTAACAACAAGAGCACTTTTAGGACTGCAGAACTTACATTGGATGAATGAAGTAGAGCACAATGATGAACTTCAGTGATATGTCTCTATTATTTTATCCATCTGCTTTGATGAGACCTGCTGGAGCTTGCCAAGGAGGTTTCTTAAGGGGTCCACTTGTAGCATTGTTACTATGTTTTATATTATTTTCTTTTAAGACAAAGCAAGCAATACTGAAGAGGAGGCACAGAACACTTAGCATTGCCATGCCACACAAAAGTCTAACAAGATCAATAAGATTTGGTTTTCCTTAGCGATTTTTAAACAACTCATTAGTAAGGGGCACATTTGTAATTTGGACGTCATAAATATACATAAATATGTATGCTTCTAGAGAAAATGAGAACTTCCACACATGCCTGCCTTTAATGGTTAGGTGTATTTTGTAAATATATCCAGCTAGAAGCTCTTCCCAATTTTATTCACAAATTGCCATCAACATAAGCTATTTCTTAATATAACACTTCAAACGGTCCTTTAATATCTGCCACTTGGACTTCTTGTTGGAGAGTTGATTTGGTTCCCTTGCATTCTTTAGAGCAGCTGCTGCAAAATTATTGTTGTGAACATGTTTTACAATGCATTTGTCTTAATTTTTGGAATATTGAAGTCTTTTGCCAAGAAGTATGTAAAATCAGTTCTTCATTGTATGTTGAGATCCTTTTAAGTTTTTTATCTTGGATGCATTTGCACTATGAATGATAGTAAGGCGGGTAAGCATTAGAAATTATTTTTAGTGCTGATATTTGTAAATATATATAGTAGTATTTGCAATTTCTGAGATATCAAATATTTCATAGGGAAGATTGCTCTATGAGTACACAAATCCCATATTAAAGAATTATTGTGAGTATTGCCTAACATTCATACATTTATTTCCTGTAAATGCTGTAATGGATTGAGTGTCCCCTGGTTGAAGTGATTGAACCATATTAATGAAACATACATTATCAGTTATGTGGAAAGGGTTCAATATGTTTTGTATTAGTTTATTGCTGTTTTTATTACAGAATTATTTATGCCTTTTTCTGTGTGATGGGAGTTTATTTTTGTGGCTGTATGTGATATGCTAGATCTTGTAGCATATGTGATGTTGAAACAATACTAGCAGAAAGCTCTGAAATAGTAGATAGTGATCATAATATTAAAAATGGTGCAGGTGGACCTCTGTCAGAATACTGTATTTTGAGAATGGAACCAGCTGATTAGACAAGTTAATGCAGTTAGTTTACCAACTGTTTTTAGCAGTACTGAATATGTGCACTTATAAAAATAGAACAGTAAGAATAATATCTGTGTTAAACTACGAAAATATGTTTGTTCAGCTATGCAAATTCCAAAGTCACATGACTACCCTGTGACAGAAAAAAGTATGATGACATGCTAATCTAAAATATATACATACTACCTTCAGCATCTTTAAAGCAGGAACAGTTCAGTTCATCTAAGCTTTGCAAGCAAGGCAAGCATACAAAATACAAACCTAATGTCAATCATAGGACTTTTATACTTACAAAATTATAAATTTTATAAATAATGAAATACAAATATTAACATTGGGGGTCCTTTAATGCTTACTTTTATGATTAGATTTTAGCCAAATAAAAAGTATTCTCAGGATTAGAAAATATTCCTCAAATCATCAGAATT